TGCTGGCAGGGCATCTTCCATCTGATCCATGTCATGAAAGGCACCTTCATCAGCTCCATAATGTTAGTTGTGAAAACTACCGCTGCCTGATTGGAAGTTGTACTGGGGTTGGTTGGCATGCTCCGATTGAACTTCTTCTTCATATGATGGGAAAGATTGATGATTACCTTAACCTTGCTCTTGGTACTGAAAATAGGAATGAGGATCATGGCAACTTTGGTAGGGATGATCTCCATATAATTCACCTCCACCATGGATACCAGATGTTTGACTGTCTCCAGAATGTCCTCCAACGCCTACGACTGCCTCAGTGTAAAGGAACATCTCGGCTTTGGAAAGATTGTTGGACCTCAAGAATTTGAGCATGGCATCTACTTCATCCTGAGTGGTTATGAGATATTCCTTGTGCCACAACGACCCGCCTTCTCTGTTTGGATATCGGTACACCATACGATCAAATCTTCTCGTGCCATCCATGCAAGTAACGTTAGTACACATTTGATAGAGGTCTTCAAGCATCGGTCTGGTAGCGACCTTTATTTTCTGAAAATTGCCACCGACGTAGGTGACCCCCTTTCCGGTCTCTTCCGTATAACCATTCCACCGTAACCCTAGCGTGAAGTTTTGGAATGCCATCTGCAAAAAAAAAAAAAAAACCGCAGTTCAGTAAATATCATAAAAATAAAAAATCACAATAAAAAGTAATACAAAATAAACTTACGAGTTAACGTTAACCACAAAAATACTAAAGAAGTAGGGAGCTACAACAGGAAATTAAAAAGGGAGAAGGAGAGGTGTGAAGAGAAGAGGTTGTTTCCCGGACTGTTTTTATAGGCAAAATCATCAATGAAAACCGCATGGGGAGGATGCGATTTTCATTTACCATGCAGCCCCACGTCTGTCAACCTGCATGACAATAATTTGATTTCGGAAAATAATTACACACACAAACCGCATGGGGGGAGGGGTGCAGTTTGTGTGGGCTAAACCGCATTTGGGGGTGCGGTTTGTTGTGGAGAAACAAAACCGCATCCCCAAAGTGCGGTTTTGCTAGGTCAGCCCAAGAACCGCACCTTGGCCATGCGGTTTTTGCTAGGTCAGGGCCAGAACCGCATGGCCAAGATGCGGTTTTGGCCCAGATTGTTAAATCGCACCTTGGGCGTGCGTTTCACATAAACAGCACCATGGGAGTGCGGCCGCACCTTAGAGGTGCGGTTTTTAAAAATGGGTGTTATTTTTGTAATTTCTTTGGACTGGGTGCTATTTTTTTATTTTTTTTTTAAATGTGCTATTTTTGGAAAAATCCCATACTTTGATTGATTCCAGACTCCTATCCTCCCTCTAGCCTCTGGGTCATTTGCCAATTCCCAAATCTAAATACCTTTCGCCAACTTGATGCTGCAGTGACACAAATAGGTAGCTGTTTGATGAGATAATAATCTGATATCTTAATTTCACCCTCCATTAACTTATTTCCGCCTTAATAAGCTTGCCTGGTGGGGGAGATAGGTGTTTGGTTTGCTGGAAGGGTTAGGGTCGTCGATGTTTATGCGGTGGCGACATCTTCAGTGGGAAGGGAAACGAAGGGTCGGAAGGGTATGGTTAGGGTCCGGGAGAGGGAGGGAATCAATGTGAGTCTCTGAGGAAGAAGCCATTGTCGATTAAACAACGGGAGGGTGGTGGTGGTGACGACAATCAAACACCGATAAGGGGGGCGGTTGGGAAATCAAGGGTTAGAGTCGACGTCTCGTCGTCAGAGGGGATGGGATATGAACGAGAGGGTTTTCTGGCGATGAAAGCTAAGCAATAAAAGGGTACAAAAGTCTTTTAGCCTTCCATTTTAATGATAAGATGCTAACCGGATTTAGTTCGACCATGAGACGGAAAACTAAATGGAGGGTAGGTTTGAACTGTATTTAATAGTAGAAGGATAAATTTGATGTGATTCAAAGTATTGGGACCTATTTGAGAAAAATAGAAAGTAAAGGGGCATATTATATATATACTCATATTTCTATAGAGAAATTCTAGGGAGTAGATATTTGTAAAGAGACTTCTAGAGACTCAATCTTAGTCATCCATTTAGGAGGTAAAACCTATATAAGAGCACCTCCCCTCATTGGTAAATCATCTATAGATATATTCATACTTGTGAGTTTGAGCAAGCTTGAGTCAATGTCGACTTAGCTCTCTAACGAGACTTGAGTGCTAAGGCCACACAGAATAGTTTAGCATGTGATACCACCCATGGATAATTTCATCCAAATCCATTAATTATGGATAGGGTATAGGTGAAGCATATAATAGGTTGGGTATTTGTGATTAGGAGTATGAGTTAGCTAATTTTCCCGATATAGTTTTAATTCCACATAAGAAATTGGACTTGTTTCTAAAATTATAAACTTTCATGTATTAAATTGCGAGAATTTTTAAGGTATTATAAGTGTAATTTTCACTTATATTTTTGGACTTATTTGTAAAAATTAGGTTTAGGTATTAAATCGTACAATCTATTAAATTTGAGTACCAAAATATAATTCTAAATAAATATGAATAAAACCCAAATTTATGGGGTTAAAATCAAACACAATCTAACTCAATCCAAATAAGAATTAGTATGAATCCATCAAACACATAAGGGTCGTTTGGAGAATATTAATTTAAATCTACAGATTGTCAACAATCTAAAGATTCAAACTCTTCGGATTGTTGAATAACATGTTTATCCTTAATAAGAAATTAGTTTGGTTTTGAGATATATTAAAATTTTTGTTGTTAACTATATTTAATGTGATAAATAAATAAATAAAATGAACTGAAGTGAAAAAGTAGGAGAAATAAATCTCACGAATCAAGATATAGAATCTCTCTGATTATAAGAGATTTGAAATCTCTATAGGTAAAATTCACATGACAAAAAGCAACAAAAAAACATGACTTTTTACAAAATTTACGGATTCAACAAATCCTAGCCCTGAATCCTGTTCTCCAAAAGACCCCTTACTATTGTATTCGGCTTTTTACCCAACCTAACCAAATTAGATAAGTAAATTACCATCCTACTTGAGTCTTCAAATTGGGCCAAAACTTAAACGATAGATAAGGAAAACTGCATTCATATTATTCAGATATCATAGTTTCCAGAAACATCTTCTCCGAGGAGAGGTACAAGAAAAAATGGTGGGCTTTCGACCCACACCTCTTCTTCATCCCAATTGCAATCTACTTTGGCCATTGTATGAGCCGCTTTATTGGTCTCTTGACCCGTGAAGCTCTAGAGGACCATTTGGAAGCCGTGGGCTTGAATCTGCACATCAGCACAGAGATGCCCAACTTCTGTTCGCCTTTCCTCCTCCTTCCTCATCTGCTATATCACTCCCAGACAGTCAGATTCGATCTCCATTTCCTCCCAGACAGCTTAGTTAGAATGTTGCTAGTCAGTCTTAACTAAATTATGCTAAAAAAAAGTGTGGTAACCTCTACCCTAATTAATTAATTATTAGACATATGAAAAATGAAAGGGTGTGCCTATGGTGACATGCATGTCACGGTGACTTGCACTTTCCGGTCGACCTCAGTTAGGATTAGGTCGACCTCATTTAGAATTCGGTCGACATCATATAGGATTAGGTCGACCTAATATGTTGTTTCAGTGTAAAAACAGTTCATGGTGTCTACTTTGGATATTCATATCATACAATTGACTAGATGGAAATTGAAGACTAATGACTTGTTTTGAAGCTGGAGTGTCCCTCTACATATTGAAGTGATTGAGAGCTCGATAGGAAGTCGAGAAGACCATTTTTGAACCTCATCAAAAGGCTATGCCAAAACTGGGAAACTGCCTAGAAATGGATAAGTCTGGAAACGTGTTTGTGAAGCCTATTTGGAGCTCAATTCGAGAAGCATGAATGCGAGTCGAGTCCAGGAGCCTCTACCACGTTAAATTAGGTATGTTTTATACAAATTCAAGGCATTGGATGAAAGATTGGATATCTGTAAGGCTTCAAACAAAAGGGTCGAAGTTGATACGAAGGCTGTTTTTCTGGCAGACTTCGAGCACAAGCAAGCTGCCAGAAAAACAGCCTTCGTAGCAAATTCGAGCTTTTTGTTTGAAGCCTTAAAGATATTCAATCTTTCATCCAATGCCTTACCTTTGTATAAAAAAATATGTAATTTGACGTGGTAGAGGACCCTGGACTTGACTCGCATCCATGCTTCTCAAATTGAGCTCCAAAGTAGGCTTGACAAACAAGTTGCCAGACTTAGCCATTTTCAGGCAGTTTCCCAGGTTTGGCATAGCCTTTTGGTCAGGTTCAAAAATGGTCTTCTGGACTTTCTATTGAGCTCCCAAGTACTTTAATGTGTAGAGGGACACTTCAGCTTCAAAACAAGCCTTTAATCTCCAATTTCCATCTAGCTAATTGTAAGATATGAATATCCAAAGTACACACCATGAAACTGTTTTTACACTGAAACAACAGATTAGGTCGACCTAACCCTATATGAGGTCGACCGTAAAGTGCATGTCACCGTGACATGCATGTCACCGTAGCAAAGTCCAAAATGAAAAGGTAACAATAAGCTCAAGTTCATCCTCTAATGTCCATAACAAAAATAAATAAAAAAATAAAAAAAGGAGAATGTAACAAAAAGAGTTTGTGGATGGAAAGAAATTGACAAGAAAACGGAACCCTTAATTTTAGTATAATTGATCAACTCAAAATAAGGTGGAGATATCTATTTTTGACACATTAACAAGTTTATACTTTATACTTGGAGAAAAAAAGGAGAATTGGTAATGACGACAACACATCTTTGTTTTTTTCTTTCTAATTAGTTCAAAACTGTTGACGATCCAAAGCAACGAAACAAATGGCCAAGCGCTTCTTTTGCTACTGAATGACAAACCAACAATTCCTCTTCACTTCCGTTTCTCATAACCAATATTAACCCAAATAATTATAAGAACCCAATTCAATCCAACACCACTAAAACCAGCTACCCTCCCCATTCAACCCAAAAACTATCCAAAGATCACAACTTTCCTAGGAAACAAAACATGGATTGCCCCTCCATCTCCACATTCCTCCTTGCTCTCATCACCATCACAGCATGCCACCAAGCTCATGCCCAAGCACCACAAGCTGCCCCTGCACCCTCAACCTCTGCCTCAGCTCCTGCTGCAGGTCCAACCATGACCAAACCAGAGCTCCTAGCCAAAGCCTGCGACAGCACCCAGCTCACCAAGGACCTCTGCAGGTCGTTCCTCGCTTCGTTCCCCGAATCCGAGGTGAAGGACATCCACGCCCTCGCTAAATTCGCGATCAAGATGACGTCCCTGAACGCGAGCAAGACCCACGACCTGATCGAGACCATGGAGCACAACCCTGCCACGGACGACGTGACCAAGCAGCGACTCAACGATTGCGCCGAGAACTACCAGGACGCCATCGACCAGCTCGAGGACTCGATGCCCGCCCTCGATTCGAAGGTGTACGACGACGTGATCACGTTCATCACCGCCGCGGTGCAGGACGTGGAGTCGTGCGAGGACGGGTTCAAGGAGCCTCCTGCGGTTAAGTCGCCAATGACGCAGACCAATGAAGTGTTCACCCAATTGTGCAACATTTGCCTAGCGATCACCAACATGTGCGGCAAATAGATTTGTCAATCAATTCATAGTCCGGGATTTTTAATAAACAACACAATTTCATCTTTCATTGGAGGATAGAAAGAAAGAAAGAAAGAAATACTTTAGCATATATGAGTGACATATGAACCCGATTGACCTACTGATACTGTCCACTAAATTGAATTCTGGAGCTGAAAGTTATTTTTGTCCATCAAGGTTGAGACTGTACTATCGCGTCGTCGTAGATGTATAACTACAAATTCCGATTTGATCGATATAACCTGCTGATACGATCCGGGTGAAAAAAGTTATACAAAATGTGATCCAATAACATTGGAGCGCGAATCCATTTTTGATCGGGAGAAGGTTCAAGCAGAAAATGATTGGCAATTGAAGCTACTTCCAGGTAGAACTCTGCATTCTGCGGTATTTCGCTGAACAGAGACAGAGAAATTATTAACAAACGAGACGAAATTCCGACCGAGCCCAATTGAAAATTTGCGAAGAAATTTCATGAAAATAAGAGGGGATTGAGACTTGAGGGTCGACTCCCGTCAAAAGACAGAGCAGCTACAGCGGGATGAGATGAGAGAACTGTCATTTGATATGATACTAGTAAGTTGCACGCACGGTCATCTATTTTGCATAATATTTGTTTACAATATAAGATAATAGAAATGGCATATCGATTCAACACTTAAGATTTTTATAATCAAATAAAGAAATGTGCATCGTCGTGTAAGGGCAAAAACATCTCTTATGTTTTTCTTGTTACAATTTAGTCAAAACGGTAAATGAAAATAGTGTCGCGAGAAAAATGGTAAAAACATATTTGGTGATTCAAAATGGTGAATGCAAGTGGATCTCACATGTTAGTACCCTACATGATAGAAAATTCGTAAATGAAAGTAAAAAACAACGTCGTGTGACCTCCAAACCGGTAACCTTGCAGCGGGTAGCCCTAGCGTGTGTGTGGCCCATTTTTCTAAGCAGATCAAGGTCAACACTTAACATTTCATAATCAAATAAAGAAATGTGCATATTTGTGTAAGGGACAAAAACCAGCCATTCAATAAGCTTTCGCCATGTGTTGATACTTTTCCTTTTACAATTTAGTCAAAACGGTAAATGAAAATAGTGTCGCGGAGAAAATGGCAAAACAATTTTGGTGATTCAAAATAGTGAAGGCAAGTAGATTTCACATGCTAGTGCCCTCGACGATGGGACGGGTAATGTAGTTGGGCGGGAGGTGAATGGGAGGTAATTTATGGCGACGGAGTTCAGCATTCACTGTGCGAGAACTTGCAGAGAGGACTTCAGTAACCTTAGGTGAGCTCTATTGCTTTTATTTCGGAACACGAACCCGAAATATTGCGGGGTAATGGGTGGTCATGGTTTTCTCACTATCCAACCTGAACTCGCCCGATTATATACATGCATATGTAATTTATTTAGAAATGAGTATTTTCTCAACAAAGTTTATATTTAGCATACAAATATAATATTTTCATCATATTGTGTTCTTTGAAATTAATTTTGTTCATTCTAGTGAATTACTATCGTACTTTTCCACTTATGTAATGTGAGTATATGTGTAAATTTTAACAAGTTGGTTGAAGTTATAAAGAGAATTATTAACCATGGATAACCATGGATATACGAAATGCGGTGGAGTATGAGCACGATTTCGATTTTTTACCTGATTTTTATATGGTATCCATGGGATATCCGAAACCCATGTAAATGTTAACATGTTGGTTGAAGTTATAAAGAGAAATTACTACCCATCAATAATCAGGAATATTCGAAACGCGAATGAGTATGAGCACGATTTTGATGTGGGTATGATTATGGATGAAACTCGAACTACTTTGGGTAGGGTAATGGGTATGCACTATCTGCCCCTAACCCGACCCGTTGCCATCCCTATACATGGTCGACCCATTGGTTGGGTGGATGGGAAGAGATAGAGAATGGGGAGGGAAAGAGTTTTATGAGGAAAGGAAAGAAAAAGGAGAGAGAGAGAGAGAGAGATACTTGAGATGGGAAAGGTTGTTAACCAACGGGTTGACCCATTGGTTGACCCAAGACCTGTTGTGGGTATGTATATGAGTAAAACACAAACTAATTTGAGTAGGGTAACATATATGAACTCTCCGCCCCTGACCCGACCCGTTGCCATACCTAGACATGGATTTTGGAGGAAGAGTTAGGTGGATGAGAAGAGATAGAGAATGGGGAGAGAAAGAGTTTTATGGGGAAAGAAAAGAAAAAGGAGAGAAAGAGAGACTTGAGATGGGAAAGGCTGTCAACCAGCGGGTTGACCCATGACCCGTTTTGATCTTGATCCACTGAGAAAAATGGGCTACACACACCCGTTGGGTCGACCCGCTGTAAGGTTACCGAATTGGAGGTCACACAACGTTGTTTTTTATTTTCTTTTACGTAATTCGTCTCTTTTCCGCTTTTTCTTGTCAAACCCTGTCTATGGAATTTTCAGTTGAACCTCTAAATATTGATCTTGATGTTACTCACATGTTAGATGAGATATAATTTATAAATGTATGAACAATATAATGAATTTTTTCATATATCCGAGTTAAAACGGGCTAACACGGTCGATCATTAACCCTCATCCTACTTGCTTGACCGGGCCAACGGGCTAAACTGGGTTGACAATCTTGGGAAGGAGGGAGGATAATTGATGAGAAAGAATTTTAGAGAGGGAAAAAAATACATAAACAAATATATGCTTTCAAGATTTTAATCAATTGTTAAATAAATTTTAATTATTAAAAACTCCATTTGATGTGACATTAACAAATAATGTTTTGAAATCCTTCTTTTTAATATCTTAATTAATACTTGAGATGGGAAAGTTTGCCAACCAGCGGGTGTACCCGTGACCCGTTTTGACCTTGATCCGCTAAGAAAAATTGGCCATACACACCTGTTAGGTCGACTCGCTGCAAGGTTAGCGAATTGGAGGTCACACAATGTTGTTTTTTACTTTCTTTTACGAAATTCGTCTCTTTTCAAGTTTTTCTCTTTGCCTAACCCTATCTTTGGAATTTTAAGTTGAACCTCTGAATATTAATATTGATGTTACTCACATGAATGACATGATAGATGAGATTTGATATAATTTATAAATGTATTAACAATATAATGAATTTTTTCATATATCCGGGTTAAAACGGGCTAACACGGTCGACCATTAATCATCATCCCACTTGCTGACCGGACCGACGGGCTAAACCGGGTTGACAACCTTGGGATGGCGGTGGAAATTTGATGAGAAAGAATTTCATAAAGGAAAGAAAAATACATAAACAATATAAATGCTATTCAAATATTAATCAATTGTTAAATAAATTTTATTTATTAAAAAACTCCATTTTATGGGACACTAAAAAATAGTTTTTTGAAATCCTTCTTTTTAATATTTTAATTTAATTAATACTTGATGTAGGAAATGTTCTCAACCAGCGGGTTTGACCCGTGACCCTTTTTCACCTATATCCGCTAAGAAAAATGGGCCACACACACATGTTGGGTCGACCCGCTGCAAGGTTACCGAATTGGAAGTCACACAATGTTGTTTTCTACTTTTTTTTTTGCGAAATTCTTCTCTTTTCCAGTTTTTATCTTTGTCTAACCCTATCTTTGGAATTTTGAGTTGAACCTATAAATATTGATATTGATGTTACTCACATGTTAGATGAGATTTGATATAATTTATAAATGTATGAACAATATAATGAATTTTTTCATAGATCCGGGTTAATATGGGCTAACACCGTCGACCATTAACCCTCATCACACTTGCTTGACCAGGCCAACGGGCTAAACCGGGTTGACAACTTTGGGAAGGAGGGGGAAGAATTGATGTGAAAGAATTTTAGAAAGGAAAGAAAAATACATAAACAATATAAATGCTATTAAAATATTAATCAATTATTAAATAATTTTTAATTATTAAAAAACTCCATTTGATGAGACACTGACAAATAATGTTTTGAAATCCTTCTTTTAATATCTTAATTAATATTTGAGATGAGAAAGGTTGTCAACCAGTGGGTTGACCCGTGACCCATTTTGACCTTGATCCGCTAAGAAAAATGGGTCACACACACCCGTTAGGTCAACTCGTGACTCATCCTGAATGCACCACTTTAAAACTCTCAATTAAGGCTCAAGTATAAACCTTAACTGGGTGCAGTACATGGCAAGTATGTTTAAATATCAACCCTGGCCGGTTCATGTACCCCTACTTCAATTGCTTGAAACTTTATCTAGTGGTTGGTTTTTGGTGAAAACAACAATCTATAGCTAAGTGGTTGCAAAGGTAAAATGATTTGACACTAATTGAGAAGGCTTCACCGGGGTGTTGCTCCCCTAGCTAGCAATTACGACTTGTTGGATCGAATAGTCGTGTGTGGTGAGGGGGTTGTAAACCGTAGGGAAGTGTAACAAGTAGCCCATGCCACTCTATTAGTCTCTAGGTCGAGGGAAGGGGATATGATCCAAGCCACCAACGTGACTCTCTCGACCTATTGACTAAGGGTTGGTTAGATTTCACCCTCGAATCGAAGTTCGGACGGCCACCCACAACCAAACCCTAGGTGCTAATACGAAATAAGAGGTTTTCCCTGCATTAACCTAACTAGGAGACAACGAATTGACTAAGAAAACCCAACATTCAAGACTCTTTCAAAGAAAGGAAGGGGGATTTTCTTTCTACGTAGGTTAGAATGGCAATTAGATTGATAGGCTTTCACACAACACAATCATTCATGAATAATACCTCCACATTCACATTAAACAGAACCATACCCAAATCATTCAATCCATACAAGCATTCACATAATTGTAGCTAGGGTTTACAAACACCCAAGTGAAAGACGTGACTACTCCATGCTAGGAGAAGGGAAAACACAAGAGAGAAGAAGGAAAACCATCAAAGAGATGCTAGCATTGCTCCTTCTTTGGGGGAAGAATTCCCAATTCCTTGCTTGAAGATGAAACCGTAGCTTCTCCTCTTATTTGGTTCGTCACTTTCTCACTTTAGAAATCTGAAGAAGAAGAAATTTCTCACACTAGGTCTCTCTCTTTTTTCTTTCAGCTCAACCTCCTATATATACCCAGATCGTGCTCAGTTCATGGTCTTAGTTCACGGCCGTGAACTGAAAGCCCAGACTGAGAACTAAAGTCCAAACGCGCCGCATCACTAATCCCAGTTCACGGGCAATGGCTCGAGTTCACGGTCTTACGAACGTGAACTGACTCGTTTCCAGTGAAAGCCATTTGTGCTCTGGATG